TTATCTTGCAACTGCCGCAAGGTATGAAATACATATGCCTGATTGAGATTATCAGGTATGTGGAAACATCTTCTTCATCCAAGAAACTAGAACTCACGCCACAATTTGGTCGTTTTTTGTTGTTTTTTTAAGAACAAGCATTCAATTATTTAAATATTGACCCGATACTTTCCTCTCTCAATTCAATATTAAGGAGAAAAAGGCTGTTGATTGTTGCTCTGAGACCGTCAAGCACGCTTGATATCATGAAATCACATATTTTACGCGAAGTCCGCTCAAGGGAAAGAGGGTTAACCCTTAGTGGTCTAGGGCGTAGTTGTCTTTTCGCCCGCTTTCGGGCTTCCACACAAAATATTGAAAAATGTGTGATGATTAGTGACCGTTAATCGATAATTATTCAGAAATCGTGAGATGCGGTCAGGTGTGATGTAGGTTTCAGAAAAACATTTTCTTTATCGTACCAACGTTTCGACCTTTATTGAGATCATCTTCAGGGCCTGGGATTTACAAACATTGTTTAAATTTAACAAATACATGTAGGATGTGGAAAAAAGTGAATTTATACAATGGAAAATATACTTTGATTGAAAAAAAAATATTTTGCATTGTATAAATTCACTAATAAATAAATTCACGAGATAAACACAGCATCAATTACAGAACAGATACATGTAAACTCAGTCGCAGCTACGCCAATATCATTAATCAAATTCAATATAGATAACATTATACACATCAAATAATTTTCATAGTCTAATTGTCCAACAAGTTAGCTTTCCTTCTGCTATTTATCCCTTTCTATATAATCCTGAAGGGATAATCTGGCCGAACCATTACCAACACATTGTTTCCCTTCGTCGGCTATTTTCACCTCAAAGAAGCCGACGCCTTATACAAAAATGTCTTTTTTTCTATACCGACTTCCTTCCCCACCCCTTCAAAATCCAACGTATATAAACACAAAATAGCAAAATCTCACTGGCACTCTCAACACGACACACAAGGATGGCACAATTACACAGAAGACAAACATTTGAGTGAGTAGAAATACTTTGAAGATAAAAAAATATTTTTTGCATTGTATAAATTCACTTTTCCACATCCTAAATGTATTTGTTAAATGTAAACAATGTTTGTAAATCCTTGGCCCTGAAGATGATCTCATTAAAGATCGAAACGTTGGCACGATAAAGAAAATGTTTTTCTGAAACTTTCATCACACCAGACCGCGTCTCACGATTTCTGAATAATATTCAAAAATGATGATTCTTGAGTTGAGAGTCTTGAAAGTCGAATTTCACGATTTCTGGATGGCTATGATAGCTGATCTCTGCTTGCACTAAAGTTGGAATTTATCGCACAACGTTAAATTGGCTATTTGGAGATTTGGAATTTATCAAGATCTGGGGGTACTTCTTTGAGGTGCAGTACGGAACCCCTTTTCCTTCGGCTCATTTCAGTGCCTATTTAGATACCTAGAAAATGGTCAGTACGTAAATCAACCTACAGGAAACTGGAAAATGGAAAAAAATTATTTCGTGACAGCCAACAAGTGATCTCATGTATCACTTGATACACTGGGCTTGATATTCACTTAAAGAGTTAAAGAGAGAGAAGTTGGAGAGGACATAAAATGCAGGTTTAGGATAGAAAAAATAGGTTTCTCCGATTTGCTCTTTATTGTTCAAAATAGAAATGTATCCACAAAAGTAATCATCGTCACATATAAAACGTTCATGGGTCGGAGACCTAGACTTGGACTGCTGCAGAAGAAATAGACTAAACTACTGAGTGATTATTTTGAAATCTGAAGAACGGGAGATACAGAATTAGAAATGATGAGCTAAAGAATCTGTACCAGGATGTAGATTTGGTTGGTATAGTGCAGGAAAGGAGATTGCGCTTGCTGGGACATCAAAATATATGAATGTGGATCGTAAACGGTGGAGAGTTTATAATAGACAACCGGGTGGTAAGACACCATGAGGAAGACAGTTCACAGAAAGATGGGAGCGAGGTACTGGAGAAGAAGGTCTATTGAATGGGGAGTCCTAAGAAGTCACTTGATAAAGGAGACCAAGGACTAACATGGACCGTACAACCAAAGAGTATGTTACGATGAGATTTCAAATACTAAATCAATTGGAAACTTGAGATAGTTTCTTACTTTCATCTTCCACTTAGTTACAACCTCGCTCCTTCATACTAGTCCGGTGCAGTGCTTACCATTTTCAAATTTTCAAGGACAAACATTTCAACCTGAACAATTTCAAGATGGATGAATATTTCTAGTCATTTAGGCTTTTCAATACAAATGCCTAGATCGGGTGTTTATCCGCGGTGTTCGTTTAAATAAAATCCATAATGAGAGATGAAACTTGTTAGTAAACTTCATGGTTTGAGAGATGCTGTTAAAACTTGGTAGCCTTGGTAGCCATCAAACGAAAAGAATGTAAGTGGTTACAAAAGATGTAGAAGCAGTTTTACCAATTCTTGCGGACAAATAAAATCGTTTCGACAAGTTATTGATGGAATTTCGAAAGAATCATTTAGCCTTAGGGTAGTTCATTGAGGTAAATCAATTTGGAACATACTAGAGGTTCTCACTTAAATCTCATCGGGAGCCCTGACTTCGGCCTTTCGACTGTTTATTATAAAATATTTTGTACATCATTACAGAAAAGCTGTTCTGACTGAGGCAAACATATATTTTCAAAATTTTACCCGACCTCTCTCCTTGGGAGTACATAGTCCGGTGCCCAGTTCACTCTTTTCAAGAACAGACATTTAAATATAAAATAATTCAAGGGGGTTGTGGTTATTTCTAGGATTTCAGCTTACTATTATAAATAATGGTCGAATCAATGTGTTTATTCAAGCTGTTCGTTAAAATGAAGTCAATAATGAAAGATGAACCAGTAAACTTCTAGGATGTTTCGAGAGATGCAATGTCAGCTCTTCCTAAGCTAAGCCATAAAACACACATTTGGACTATAAGATAACCGTTCCTGAGAAAGATTGGAAGGATGAACACAACATGCAGAATCATTTTGTAACGATTTTTGCTAACAAATAAACTGTTTTGAACAAATGATGGAATTTTGAAGGAATCATTTAGTCTTACAATTAGAGGGTTCGTAAAGGTAAATCAATTTGGAACATAAAGGATCTCACTTTCACACTCCGCCAGGAGCCCGACTGCGTTACTTCTGATTACTTATTTTTTTACACCGTTACACTTTGTTATTCTCCCTCGTAGTTAGTGACGTGCGATACCAATCGATATAAGTAAAGTATCGAGTATTTACTTTCTATACCTAATATTTTGGTATCGAACATTGTCATTCGATACAATACTGTATCGAGTACTTTTTGTAGTATCGGTAAAAATACTCAAATAGATTTTTCATCGAGTGTTCAATTAATTATTCAGAAATCGTGAGATGCGGTCTGGTGTGATGTAGGTTTCAGAAAAACATTTTCTTTATCGAACAACACGACACGTAAGAATGGCAAAATTACACAGAAGAAAAACACTTTGAGCCCTGAAGATGTCCTTAATAAAGATCGAAACGTTGGCATAAAGAAAATGTTTTTTCTGAAACCTACATCACACCAGACCGCATCTCACGATTTCTGAATAATTATCGATTAACGGTCACTAATCACCACAAACTTAACTTTCATCAAACTGGGAGTTGATTAGTTACTGTTAAAAGAGCCTTCTAGCGGCATGTGTCAACAAAGTTAATTGAGATTTCGAGTTGGTGGTTGGTAACTCTGCTCATAATTCTGAAAACTCATAATTCTTTCCCGCGTCGCAACTCGCACTTTTAATTTCAGTAATTTTTTATAAATGTTTTTGTCTTCAAGTACCTAAAAAGTGTTCGCCTTCATAGGTAGATTACTAATCGTATCTCCTCTCTAAATCGTCAGCAGCTTGTAAACTGTGCGAGAGTACGTCTAATCTTTTCAGAAAAGAAAACACTCGTTGATCAATTTTCTCAAAACTCGAGAAACATAAAATTTAAATATAAATTTTGGTGAAACGTGTTGACAATTTTTCCTTGTTCTTACCTACCACTGAATGAACTATACTTAATATTATTAAATTACCAAAAAAAATAATAACAATTAAAATGAATTAGTTTAATTATTTGGATGTTTGATATTATGATTATTATTTTTATAGTAATTTAATAATGTTAAGTATTTACTAGTATAATATTTATTTGTGTTATAATTTCCGCGTTTCGCTGGTTCAAATTGAGCGCCATTAAAAAAATCAGCTGCTAATCGGAACGTCGCGTTGGCGGAGGTATCAGCGGGTTCACTTTGGCAATTCATGTCGAGAGACGTGGTTGTAGAAGTCCTTCAACCTGATGATGAGCTAAAAGGCTCGAATTCCGGATCGTTGCAAAACAACTTACTGTGAGTAGGAACTATCTTTTTAAAAAAGGACTGAATGAACAATGCTTAAAAATATTTTAAAAAACTGCGAATTTTTTTTTATTTTAACGCATGAGCGCATTTTACCCATAAATCAATGGTTGATCATTTATGAATAAACCAGAAAGTACTCACATGAAAGTACTCATTAGTGTCGAATAATTTCTGTTGATATTTGAGTAGTATCGAATATTTCTTTCGAGGCCAGTATCGAGTATATGTATCGAATATTTTCTGGTATCGCACGTCACTACTCACAGTGTATTCAGACCCGACCTCACTCCTTCAGATTGCCACTTATTTCGATTTATAGTTCATTAGTTTACATGTGAAAACGTTAATACTGAAAAAATATTTTGACATATTTCACCTTATAGAAGCACCGTGAATAGCAGAAAGGATCAATTGTAGGCACAAAAGTCAATAACCACCGTCATATTTAAAAATCATATAGATATTAAAATTATTTTATGTTAACTATTTCAAGAAAAATTAAAAAAAAAATAGCTTCAGGTTGAAAATGCTGAATTTGAATTGTCTAAATAACTTACTTTCCTTTGGTTGAACTTCAGAATTCTGCTGATCCTCGCCGGCAGACGAAGGGGATCGTTTCATCCTTCGCTAAATATTCATGATCGTTTTATTATACAACCGCAAGTACTACGACCTTCGGCATCTCTCTGAAACAAATAAAAACGGAAAGTAAGGAGTACAAAACTAAATAAAATGCATGTTGACACGTGAATAATTAACGCGAGGTAATAAATTAAAAAAGGTTCGCATTATCACAATCTCGATTGTATTTTAACATTTGATTGTTTATTCTGGTTCAACAATCTAAGGGTATCTGGATCGATGTCGCACTATGATTCTAAAACTTTTTTAAATATTCACCTTTATCAATCTTTAATCTACCTCTTCGACGCGTCCTTACGATTTAGCATACTTAGAAAAACGGTATGTCCGTGTTATCGTCGTAAATCGTTTTCCTGATTCAAAAGCTTCATGAATAAAAATTTAATTAATTGTAAATTTAATTAATCGAAATGCCAAACTAGAGAGGCGAGCCTGTTTTTCAGAGTAGATTAAACATTTGTAGCTTTGACAGATGTCGACTTTATAAACTCCAATTCGGATTAATAAATTAGAAATGCCGAATAATACATACATAATGAATAGTTTAAGAAGGAATAAAACAAGAATTTCGTTCCGGACGAATATAATGTATGAAATTAAACAGACCTAAAGTGTAGTCCCTATTCGTAATTATATACTTTACATATAATTCGTGCCGAAATGTCAGCAGAGGAGATGAAATATTACGATATAAATAATACAAATGGTATCGGGTTGAAATGCAAATTTTTCCGTATACATGTCGCTTTGTCGCCTCGATTAAACGACCGGGGTCTCCTCGTCGAACTGGACGGCAAATGAAGTCAACGTATTATTTCAATTATGCTCGGTCGATAAGCCTGTTCCTTAGCATAAATCAGGATAATGGCTTGTTATTAACACTGCGCTTACTCTGCTAATGGCCGGTCGAGGGACGGGAGTCAGCTTGGAACCGGCCTCGGACGTTCAAATCTTGGCGAAATCACGACCAAATCGAACCGCGGTTTTTGACTTTTAACGACCGTCTGAACTTTTAAGACTATGGCCACTGACCCGGTCTCGGACCGGATGAGAATGAACCAGTCGGATTGCCGCTGGTGACGATTTTTTCCGTTGAAGCATCAGGTGAATCACTAAAAAAGGAATTTATTCAACAGAACATCACAACAAAAGCCGAACCATCTAAGTTGGGGAATATCACATATTGTATTGGAAATTCATTGCCATTAAGATTCGTTTCATTTTTCTATTGTTGTAACTTCATATTACTAAAAATATATACAATCCGATTAACAATTATAGTGTGTTATTTTTGATTTATGAACACTCAAAATAATAATTCATACTCGTAAATTATTCCATCTAAATCACTACGCGACAAATAAACATAACATAGAAGGAAACCCCAAGAATAAACCAATAAATGAAAAAATGAGTTGAAATCCGCAAAAACATGTAGACAGAACACTGAAAACAGTTTCACCTTCTACAAACGTGCAAAACATACTCGACAATAGTCATATAGAATCCTCCAGAATGGATACAAACAAAACAAAGAGAGAAGTGGATAAACTCTAGCGGTGCTAGACATAGTAAACTTATGATGAAACAACCCTCACCAAAAGTGGCAATTCCGTGGTCCAATTTTCGTTGATATTTCGGTCAGTTGCTACCTAATAGATTTCAATGAAATATTAACATTATTGAACCGGAAACAATCTTCACAACTTCCTATAAAGTATCAATGGACTATAAAGGAGAGGAAGAACACAGGAGAGTATCAGATACAATGATATGGTACACAGATGGCTCCAAAACCAACGAAGGAACCGGATCAGGCATTTTCTGTACAAGCCCAAAACGTGAGCAATCAAATTCGTTGGAGAAGTACACTTCTGTCTTTCAAGCAGAAATACATGCCATCAACGCTTGCCCTACACAATTTCGAAAGAGGTTACACTGGCAAAATAATCCTCATAAGATCAGACATCCAAGCAGCTATTAAAGCATTAGCATGTACAAGCATCAAACAGAAAGAAGAATTACATCCAAACTAGTCAGTGAATGCATCCAAAATCTCCAAAACCTGGGAAAACACAACAACCTGATGATATCTGCCAGGGCACAGGGGAATTTTGGGTAATGAGACAGCAGACAGTCCGGCCAGAGTAGGATCTCCAAGACCACACGTAGGCCCCGAACATATCCTTGGGATAACAAAAACAAACATAGAATCCTCCATCGCAGAATGCATCCAAGCAAGACAAAAGGAGAAGTGGATAAACTCTAGCAGTGCTAGACACAGCAAACTTATGATGAAACAACCCTTACCATGATTGGCAAAAATACTGCTACAATTGGAGAGGGCAAAACTCAGAGGAGTGGTGGGACTACTAACCGGTCACTGGCATCTGAGAAAAAATCTAAACAACATTTGTATATACAGCGTTGATCCCATTTGCAGATTATGTAATGAGGACGAGGAAACAGCCAATCATATCATCTTCGAATGCGAAGCAACAGCTCAATGGAGGTTTAACCTAACGTACGGAAAAACGTTAGGGAATCAAATTGCAGCAGCGACAGTGAATGACCTGATACTTCTAAGGAGAAGGATTGAGTCGATTGCACGGAACTAAGGAACAAGGAAGGTACAATAAGCCAGAAGGTTGCAGTGCCTGGGGAGCGCAAACCCCGCTTCCTAGTATCCTTTTTCACCATACCATACCTTACTTGACGAAGTAAAATATCACAAATACTAACCACTGAAGAATACAAGAAGACGATAGAACTAAGGAATTTTGATCACAATTAACAAAAAGGAGTAGTGTTAAGCGGGGAACACACTTACCCGATGCAACGCAAGGCCTTGTCTAGTTTTTGTAGGGTGTGCACATCTATCCGACGTCAAGCGCACGCAATAATCACAATAATCAGTATCACAATCGCAACGCCTGTTTTGTTCTTAATACACTATTTTGAGCAAAACCGTGTAATAAATTGTGAGTTAAATTTTATGAGCACAACCATCTAATACATTGTACATTACATAAATTGTTTGTTAAACTTAATTGTTTTAAATAAAGTTATTCCGGTATTTTGGTAAATTTTCTTCCTAATCATCACAATTCAATATATTTTATAAAAACTCATCAATGTTTGATCTCGTTTAATTTGGTTTTAATTAAAATAAGAATGTTGTAATTAATATAACGACAAAATTACACATACAAAGTTTGGAAATAAACTAGAAAAATATGAGTTCTGACGCTACTCGACGAAAATGGCGTAATTTTATGAGCAAAACCATGAAATAAATTGTTAGTTAAATTTTGTCAGCAAAACCGTGTAATAAATTGTTAGTTAAATTCATTATATCAAAAAATGGTATTCCTGTGTTTTGATCAATGTTCTACCAAACCTCAAAATTTTATTTTTTTTAAAATAAAAGCTAATGAATTTTTGATCTCGGTTAATTTGGTTAATATGAAAATAAGTGTGTTGTAATTCATGTAACTACAATAATACATGTAGTTCGAATAAAAATATGAGTGTCCGGTTCTTTTGTCTTGGACGGTACTCGATGCGACCCGACGAAAATCTGGATAGTGGGGATCGCATAGCGTAGAGTAGGGTAGCGTTGCGTTGCATGGGTGTGTTCCCGGCTTTAATGTCTACGAACACCCTTGTCCACCTATGCTCGCCGATTCTGAAAGTCAGACGACTAACACGTTTGGCATGTCAACACCTCATAAAAGAATACATTGCTAAAATAAACGGAACAACTTTTGAAGTGCCCTGACTGTCAAAAAGATCAAATTATCAAAATTTGCTCGTCTACAAACATCCAAGTATATCTTCGCTGATTCTATTAAGTTTATGTTTGATATTTCGACAAACATTACGCTGTACTACAAAACCTACGAAAATGATTTTGAACAGTTCGTCTCATATATGTAACGTCACTAGTGTTTTTCGGGAATGGACAAGATATAACCAGAGCTGACCAAATAGTACTAAAACATGATTAACGTCAGTGAAATGTCAACAACTTATAAAATGACACTGCTGAAAAGTAACATACCATTAAAAATAGCACATTGCTCTAACATACCGGACAAAAAATATCTTAATCAACCTTTAATTCGGCGATGCCATGAAGCCTGATGCCATGAGAAGGATTAGAGTATGATGTGCAGAAAATATGGCCTGTCTATCCTCCCTGATTCTGTCAGTATAATCTGCTTTGGATGGCACCTCCACCTTATAAAAGGACACAACTGACTAAAAACCATACTATCGAACCATTGAAGATGGAAAATTTTCGAGTCACATCCTACAGAATCATTGTTTTTGATGTGCTAAGAAAGAACTTGTAGCGTTGTTGTGTGCCAACATTCAGGCCCTCCAATTTTTGCTGATTATGTCTATGTCCATTAGACGTAAATAGCCGCATTAATATAGACAATAATATTTAGGTTTGAGAAATTTAAAAATATCACAGATCTCATAAAACCCCACTGACCCAACAAAATAGTAAAAATGATGGCATTTTAATAAGGACATACCTGAAAAATAACACTAGATTAATAACTCAAGATATTGAGGGCACGCAACATGTCGGATGTCTACCAATAATCGCATCTCAGTAGAACTTAATAGATAACTCATTAAATTCACTAGTTTTCGTGGTCCGCTTGACCAATTAATATCTTTCAATTAATTAAGGTTTTTAGTTGAGATAAAAAAGTCAGTGTCATGAGCGGGATTCGAACCCACGATGTTCGGCTAGATACGCCGCTGTTTACCACTTGAGCTATCGTGACCTCGATCCACTAAGACACTAACTTCCCATCTCAACCCCACCTTTTGAATTTTCCCTTCTTTTTGCCATTTTTCAAATGTCGTATAAAATATTTGATTCTCGGAGACAAATGAAATGGCCACGGAGAGCTTTAGTGAAGAATACTTCATTTTAAACTTATTAAATTCACTAGTTTCGTGGTAAGGTTTTCAGTTGAGATAAATAAGTCAAAGGCACGATCGGGATTCGAAAAATGGAAAA